CACGAGGAAGCGTCATTCAGTGGGGTAAAGTCCTCTGTGATGCTCTGGCCATAAAGATGACCAGAAAATCCGCATCAGAAGCACCAATCTTTCTGCAAACGCCCTGTTGAATCAGCCTCTCAGCAGAAGAGACACCAGGATAAGATGACCATGGGAAAGTCAGCCGTGAGGTGACCTGGCAGCTTGATGTTCTCTCTCAAACCTGGTCGTCAACATGAGTGGCTATAGTTATGTGTCTTCCAGGCTGGTCTCCCACTCTCGACCAGTGAGCTCATCTAACTTCATGATGGAAGGCTGTTAGAAATGCTCTCGAATCCCATCTGCTCTCAGCTACTAGAGTTCGCAACTATTCTGGTCATTGTGCTACAAATCAAACAGCCATCTTTCCACCTTCTGAATACCTACTGGATGATCAACTATGTCACTGAACATCAGTGAATGTCTTCAGATTTGCACGCACCACAGACTCCAAACCAATATGGCCCACCATTGGGGAACAGAGAATGAAATATGCAATTCTGGACTTCTTAGATTACCCGAAGTTCAGAAACTGAGGAGCACTGGGTTCTGAAGACCTTACATTAACCAGGGTTTATATCATGGTGCTGGGAGGCCAAGATCTGAGGTTTCTGGTGAGCCAGGAATGAGGTGACTGCAGGTGACCTTGTTCCAGACTGAGTACCTGTTGGGCCTGATTGGTTTTCTAGGTCGAAATGTGAACGCGATTACCTGGTGTGGTGGAAATGCTCCTTTAATGGTTCAGTCTTGGAAAATGTTACTTCTGCCAAAAGAACAAGGTCCTCAAAAGAGGAAAAACAAACCAACACCAGCATTACACTGCTCATGGGCCACTGGGAAAAAGGGGCAGTACTGTCTGGAAAAGGTGGCGCTGAAGGGGAGGAAAAGTTTGGATTTGATGGGGTGCATTAGGGAGTGACTGGTGTGGCCCTGACCTGCTTCTGTGGCTTTTTATGGATGACAGACACACGATGCCATTGGTGACGGGGCTCTGTGACGCAGGAGACCCCCAGCGGAGCAAACAAGGAGGCACTCGGCAGGGAGCATATGGCGCACTATCCAGACCGTGAGTCACCCGTCTCAGCGCAGACTGACGTCGCTGAGGAACCTCATGCTGCCAATCCAGGAGAACGCCACACCAAGACCTAGTTCAGGAAAAGGGGGCTGCCTAAGTGGGTCAGCTGCAAAAGTTGTTTCATAATCAAATAGGCTCTTATAGGCATTCAAGTATATGCAAATAAATACAAACAGCTGGATTTAGCATTGGAAAGCAAGGCTGTAACATCATTTTGGGTGCTGTAAATATCACTTTGTTCTGACTAAGTAACAATGTTACAATTCCATACTTGGTGACAGTCATCATATCAATGACCTGAAGGTGTGAAATGATTCCTTATCAGGTAGCAAACTTACTTTAATTTGCCAAATACATTTGGTACATTTCGTCATGTGCATAACGACTGCATATATTTACCAACTAGATAATAACTAGATTTTCTGCAACCAGCTGACTAGACTGAATTTCTACTTTTATACAAAAGATCATTTGAGCCGCAGGTGAGTATGAGTATCTGTGTTGTTCTGTCTGCTGTCCTGAGACCCATAGCTCTCTCTTCTTTTTCTGCTCCCCTTTCCAAGTCAGGGCGGGGTTCCGCTTAGGCCTGATTTTGGGATTATGTTCATCTGTGTTCCATCAGTGCCTCCACCTGAAAAGGAGGTGAATCAGTGGAAGGATCCTGGACAGAGGCTGAGGAAATTCATCTGAACGTGTCAAACATCCCATTGCCTTCAGCCAGAAGCTCCTGCAGGTAGTGCTTCAGCGTGGGCTATGAGCCCACAATCAGGAAAAAAAGCACCAACTTGTACCTTTGAGGGTACAGTTTTTTCTTCCTGTGGCTGTACCCTCAGGGCTCTGCCAGGTGTACCATACCTGTAGGTAAATGTACATTTTAAGGTACAGAAATGGAACCGTTGGAGAGACATTAATGCTGTTTGTACGCAGGCTGTAGCTTCTTTTGGGAGTGCAGGTGGCCGTGCTGACGCAAGCGTCGCTCCCGCCCTTCATCTCCAGCCTTCCACAGGGGATTGCAGCCCCAGCGCCACTAAGCCCTGCTGGCTGCAGCCGTCCAGCTGGCTGAGACGTAGCAGCCGACTGGCCCTGGAGCTGGGGAGCAAACAGACCCCAAAGCCGCCTCCGTCCCCCTTCTGTGCCACATTCACTTCCTCCTCCTCTTGCTGTTTTACACAGAAAGCCCTCCATACTATTCCACAGCTCCCCATCCCTGCCTTTCTCCCTTCCCATAAATTAGCATTTCTGGAGTAAATTTCCATTAATGCACTTGCCCAGTGGCTCTTTCACCATCCAAGGAATAACCTACCAGATCCTGAAAACGGTCTATTGATGAATCTTTCCTGGATTCAAGATGTGAACAACTGCTCATCTGGCAAAGCAGGGCAGGATATGCAAGTGAGTTATTAGGGATTTGTTTTGAGCAGAGGGATGATCAGAAACACCCAGTCAAATGGGGGGGGGGGTCTAATTTACATGGAACTAAAAAATGATGATGGCCCACATCTCGCCTTCCTGGCCATCTTGGGAAGACATCATGCAGGGTTTTTAAAAGCCTTTGCAGTGTGATTACTCTACTGGAGCACAGCTGTCATCTTCAGACATTTATAATAAAATGCGCACACTCTGTGGTAATTTTAAATTATATTGTGAGAGTTTACAGGCTAGGGAAAAAAACACGACTGCTGGGATCTAAAAATATTTCAGACACCTTATCAGAATTTCATGGCTAGACTCTTGAAGAATGCAGTAACACTTCAGAGGTTAATAGCTTCATAAATAGCGAGCAAGCTGCCAGTTAGTTAATTTTGCAGTCACATCAAAATTGCTATTACCCCTTTCCACTGAAGGACGTCCCTAGAACTGGGATGGACATTATCATCATTATACTCAAGTCCAGAAGGGCATCCTTTGCATTAAACTGTAGACCACGCCACAGAGGGTCGGAAACAGTGAGGGCAAACCAGATTGTAGATAAATCTATTTCTGTGGCCAAAATACCTTCTAACAGACTAGGACACAATAAGTGCAAAGGAAACAGGGTTTTTCAGTTTGATATGTATCCCTTAATGCCCTGAATCAGTGAGATGCCAGATAAATTAGCCTCAGTGTTCACTGACACTGGAATTGACCAAGGGCGAGTGGCAGATCCTCTGAGGTCAGAGGACAGAAAAGCTGCATCCGTCACTGCCTTTCTGTTTAGGCTGCATGGAGACACTTTTCAGTTAGACTGGCTACATTTGTCAACCATGATTTGCATGTGGTATAACCTATGCAGATGAAACTCACTGCAGTATTCACAAAAGCAAAATGTGTAACTGTTTCGAATGATGACATGCATGTTAAACTTATAACCTGTGTATTTACCTGCCTATCATTCATAAGTAGGTTGCATAATTATTAGTTATTTAATGCAGTTCTAGATGACAAGTTGGAACTGAGGTGAGATTGTTGGCACAGAGCAGAATTTTATCATGTGGTGGTAATGCTTTAGACTGGCAGGTAAGGAGCATGCACTGAGAACAGCACCAGATAAAAACTCACAGTGGTCCATTTGGACTAGTGTGGTGCTGAGGTATCACCTGCCTCATGGCTGCACTCAGGATCTCATCCCTGAGGAGGTTTGTCATGTGGTGGGTGCGGCAGCTCACTGTACTCACTGCATGCTCCTTACCTTACCTTAGATTGGCTGAAATACAGCAAAAACATTCCATACCTGTGAGCCAATGGAAGGCACCGCTGACTGTCAGACAGGTCATCCTTTTCTCAAAGTTCACAGGTCAGCCTTCCAGGGACCCAGGAGGGCCGGGAGACCATGGCAGGCACATGGCACAGGGTTAGAGTGTACCCTGGGTGGAATGCCAGTCCACTGCAGGGCACAAGCACCCACATACACCGTCATACAATTTTCAATTTAAAGGTGCCAGTAAAGTCTTTGGCCTGCAGGAAGAAACTGGAGCGCCTACTGGAAACGTGAAGAGACAGAGAGAACATGCAAGCTCCGTAGACACAGAGCAGGCAGGAACCATTTTATAGCATAAAACAAATGCCTGTTAGAATGTATCACCACACGCGTGCCTGTAGCTCTTTACTACCAGCACAGGTGAAAAGGCAAATGCTTTAGAGAAAAACAGCACTATTCAAACTGGGCACAGTCAGTTAGCCAGTTTTGCTAACTCATCTGCACTGTGCAGCCTCTGAATATTAAGCTAATCACATTTGTGAAAACACTGTAATTAATATAAGTATGGATATCGAGTTGCAGTGCAGTCGAACTGGATCTATAGCCAAACACTTTTCAGGAGCTCTAATGCTGAGCAGGAATACTGGCATCTCGCTCAGTCTCTGACACTGACTAGCATGCAGTGTTTCGCTCTCTGACACTGGCTAGCGTGCATTGTCTCGCTCTCTGACACTGGCTAGCGTGCAGTGTCTCGCTCTCTGACACTGGCTAGCGTGCAGTGTCTCGCTCTCTGACACTGACTAGCGTGCAGTGTCTCGCTCTCTGACGCTGGCTAGCGTGCAGTGTCTCACTCTCTGACACTGGCTAGTGTGCAGTCAGGGCTGATCACGTTGGTTCCGCATCAGCTGCACAGGGCTTGAGCGCGGCCCACAGAGGCACACTCAGGACAAGTGGCCCACGCAGCACTGCTGCCCTGCCCCCTGGCTTGGGCCTGCAGGGCATCGCTACAGATGGGATTTGTTTAGCCCTAGTATGATGACAGAAAATGGCAGAGATGGGCCTGGTCACCCATGGGCAGTGGGAAGCTCGTGGCTGAATTCAAGGACAGTCCAGAGCTGCAACCCAGCACCAAATCCTGGCCTTCAAAGATCTTCAGAGACGTGTGCTGACCACACCATGGACAGCGTAGCTACAGACACCAGCGTAAGAATAACAAAACTGGAAACACTGTTTCTTTATTATTATTTTAATTGCAATCGTGATGATGTAATAGTCAAAGCCAAAAAGATCTGAGGTGCCACTTTTGTAATTAAAACAAAAAGACACTGTCCATCGTGCCACTTTCCGTCCAAGTGGAAGACGGACTGCATCAAAGGATTAAGCTTTTTATTAAAATAAATAGGACAGATTTACAGCCTGTGAGCTCCAAAGCCGTGAATCGCTTTTGCTTCTTTACAGTCATTTAAAAGCATATGCAGCGGCCTGCCACTCTGCATACACTCCCACTATCTGTAATCACACTTATTCCGGCCATGCTGTGTATAGCCCCTTCACTGCACGTCCCGTCGCTGGCTCCGCACTACACAGTCTCCTCCACGATAACCTCGATGGCGTGCTGGATGATGGGGATCACGTCTCCTTCCATGTCTTTGCTCCCCTGGATGGAGGGCGCCAGGAGCAGCAGTGGGGGAGACGAGGTAGAGCCGACGGGAGGGTCTGCCTGTGTGAGACAGAGCTGTTCGGAACCCTCCGGGCCCGACGGCGCGGCCTGCACCAGCAGGATGGTGTGTACGGCCGCCTGGCCTTCTTCCTGGGGCACTGGGCTTCTGCCATGGGTCTTGCGGTGCTTGCCCAGGTTGGAGAGGGAGCGGAAGGCACGCGGGCACAGCGGGCAGGTGTAGGGCTTCTCGCCGCTGTGCGTGCGGGCGTGTTCCACCAGACGCGCTGCCAGCACAAAGCTCTTCCCACACACGGCGCAGCTGAAAGGACGTGCCCCACTGTGCAGCCGCTCATGGTCGCGGAGGTGGGGGATCTGCCGGAAGCGCTTCCCGCACTGGGAGCACTGGGAGCAGGCGGGGGAGCAGGGAGGTGACAATACGAGCAGCAGGACCAGTGACAGGTGAAGACGAGATGGAGGAAGAAAACAGATGAGTGCAGTCAGTGACACGGCAGCCATGAGAGAGACAAACGAAAAAGAGTACAGAGCAGAACAGGAGTGAGGAAGCAGCAGGGCTTCAAAGGCCAGCTCCTCCTCCTCATCCAGACTGGAGGCAGATCTTCACACACAAAGCGCCCTCACCTGGTAAGGTCTCTCCCCCGTGTGGATCCTCAGATGCACGCTCAGAGAGGACGCCGTGGTGAAGTCCTTCCCGCAGTGCTCGCAGTGGAAGGGGCGTGGCTTGGAAGAGTTGGGGTCTGAGGGGGACTCGCAGTGGGTGAGGACGTGCTCCTCCAGGCCGGCGCTGGTGAGAAAGCGCCGGCGGCAGGCGGGGAAGGGGCAGCGCAGGGGTGTCTGGCCCGAGTGCGACAGACGGTGCAGGTCCAGCCCCTCTGGGGTCACACAGCGGTGCCCGCACATCTCACACTCCAGCTGGCCCCCGTTCCGGCCCCGAGGTCGCCCCAGAGCCCCACCCTGGTCGCAGCTCTGCATATGATCGACCAGCTCAGACTGAGCGGGGAACTGGGCCGTGCAGCGGGGACATGACAGGACTCCTGCTGTGGAGAAGAGAGAATTTTTAATGCTCAGTTGGGTGACAACAGCAAAGCCAGGAAGGGTGATCCGGAGTGGCGATCTGTCCTAGCCAAAGTTAGTCCATAAAGAACACTATGGATGAGCATATGCACTTGGCAGCAGAACACACCAGGCTGCAGCTCAGTCATCAATTTTGTAATTAATCATTGGATCTGCGACTGTATGTCTAGGAGTAAAGAAGGAGCCGACCTGTCAGACAGACCTGGTAGACCCAAACGTATCGTGAGGAGGTACTAGGAGTGCCTGACAGAGGGAGATCTTCAACTTGTACCTCCGGCATAAGTTTTCTTACGTTCCGAGGGAGGATGGAGACCCTGAGCCTGAAGCGGCCATGTTCTGGGCCTCCATTGCTGAGGTGGCTGTACAGAGCTGTGGCCATAAGGTTGTTGGTGCCCGTTGAGGTAGCATCCCCTGAGCCCAGCTTGGCAGTTGTGGAAGCAGAAACTCAGGTGTGAGAGCTCAGTGAGGCCAAGGAGAATGACTTTCAAAGAGATTCTGGCTAACTGTCAGGCAACTCAAGAGGCATTTGCAGGGCTCTGCCCATGCTGTTTACAGCAGGGGTGGCACGTCATTGACCTCGAATAGGGAGTCATGCGGCAGAAGGAGCATTTTGGGCTGTGACCTGCAGCAAGTGCTGGGGGGGGGGGTTGCAGCCGAGTGTGAGGCGGCCAGGATGAGGGCCAGCACCTCCAAGTCTGAGGCCATGGTTCTCGACCAGAAAAGGGTGGATTGCCTTCCCTGAGGGGGCAGGAGTTACTGCCTCAAGCAGAGGAGTTTAGGTACCATGGGGTTTTGTTCATGAGTGAGGGAAGGAGGGAGCGGGAGATCGTGCAGCGTTGGCACTAATGCGGATGCTGTCCTGTTCTGTCGTGGTAAGGAGGGAACTGAACTGGACGGCGATCTACGTTCCCACCCTCACCTGTGGTCATGTGCTTTGGGTAGTGACCAAAAGAATGAGATCGTGGATACAGGCGGCAGAAATGAGTTTCCTCTGCAGGGTGTCGGGGCTCAGCCTTAGGAGCCTTAGGAGTTCAGACATTCAGGAGGGGCTCAAAGTAGAGCTGCTGCTCCTCCGCATCAAAAGGGGCCAGTTAAGGTGGTTCAGGCATCTATCTAGGATTCCTCCTGGACATCTCCCTGGGGAGGTGTTTCGGGCATGTCCAACCGGGAGGAGACCCCGGGGCGGACCCTGGACATGCTGAAGGGATTATATCTCTCGCTGGTCTGGGGATGCCTTGATACCTCCCCCCCCCCGCCACGGAGGAGTTGGAGGAGGTGGCTGGTGAGAAACAGACATGACAGATATTCAGAAACACAAAGGAGAGCAGCACCTGGGTGTGTGAGCAAGTGCAGCTGCAGCTGTTTCCTGCGCAGAAAGGAGAGTCCACAAGCCTTGCAGGAGAATGGGAGCCCCCCGGCGTGTGTGCGTCTGGGGGGGGCAGGAGGGCAGAGGAACTGCGTTACTGTACATCACACCGCGTCTCCTATGTCACCAACACGTTATAGCAGAATCACAGGACACAAGCAGGAGCGCCACTGCTGGGATGGGACACCGCCGGGGATACCTGTGTAACAACAGCTGGGCGCGTGTCTTGAAACGAGAGGGGCAGTCCATGCAGGGGTGGGGCAGCGGGAGCCCCGCCCCATTTCCTCGAGAGCCTGGCCCCTGCCCACTGGCGTGGGGGGCGGCCTGGTGAGCACGGCGATGGCGCGCCAGGTTGCTGCTATAGGAGAATGCCCGGGGACAGGAGTCGCAGCTGAATCGCTTCTCGCCGGTGTGGCTCAGCAGGTGGGCACGGAGGTGGCAGTGCCGACCGAAGCCACGTCCACAGGTGGGGCACATGAGTGGGGCAGTCTCACTCGGCGGGGGGGTGGGGCTGTCTGCGAGACACGGGGGGGAGGCGGCCATGGATTGTGGTGGAGATGACCCTGCGGGAGGGCAGTCGCCCACCCCCTGCTGGCAAGGAAGCACTCCTGCACTGTCCTCTGTTGCTGCATACATAAACAGGAAATGGTTAACAGCAACAGAACAGTGGTCTGGCGTTGCCCTCCCCAGTGCCCTCTCCATTCGGGGCAGGGGTGTGACACAGTAAGTTATGTTCTCACCTTGCGCCCTCTTGGAGCACACGCTGAGCTCTGAGCCGCTCCTATTCCTCACATCAGCTGAGGAGGAAGCAGACAGGGCCCCCGCTGGGCTGCTGGATGCCCTTTGCTCTCGGTGCTGTCGCCGGTGATACAGGAACAAGGTGGTGCTCATGAAGCTCTCCCCGCAAACCGCGCAGCAGTGCAGCGCCCCCTCCAGGCCATGGCGTGTCTTTCGGTGCGCTATCAGGGCAGGCTCTGAGCTGAAGCCGGACCCACAGCCCATGCACAGAAAGCTCTGCCCTGGTACAGCGGGCATGGCCGTGGGTGGCTGTGGGAGCTCGCTGCTCTTTCGCTTTCGCTCTTCTACAGCAATGCAGCCCTTCTGGAAGTGTGTGGGTCCTCTGCCTGAACTGCAGGAGGGCTCACCTCCTTCTCCTCCTGCTGCTTCTCCAGGGACTGGCACAGTCTCCACACCTTGCTCCAGGACCTTCTCACCAGTAACAGAAGACCTGGCTTCAGCCCCTTCTGCTCGTCCATCTTGTCCCTCCCCCTCTCTCTCCTCCTCTGGTCGTCCATCTTGTCCCTCCCCCTCTCTCTCTTCCTCTGCTCGTCCACCTTGTCCCTCCCCCTCTCTCTCCTCCTCTGCCAGTCCATCTTGTCCCTCCCCCTCTCTCTCCTCCTCTGCCCCCCTTTCTGCCCTCTCTCCAGCGTGGGGCACATATGAATGGTCCTGGCTGATGAAGCTGTCTTTGGCATGGTCTGTCTCATGTTTCAGGTCCATACTTTCCTCCCTGCCGGGGGTCTCAGCTGCCTTTGGTGCCGGTTCTCTGGGCTCTGGCTTCACCTGCCCCACCTGCCCCTCCTGTCCCTGTTCCTGCCCCAGCCCTTGCCCCCCAGGCCCTGCTGGGGGCTCTGTGCAGTGTCTCAGCTTGCGGTGCTGCTGCCACTGTCCCAGGGACTCAAAGAGGGAGCCGCAGTCGCCACACTGGTAGCGGATGAGGGGTGTGGACACGGTGCTGCTCGGCCTCCTGGCCCAGTTCTGCCGGATTTGGTCCGTTCCGCCTTGCTCAGCCAGCCTGGAGGAGGGCAGCTTCTGATCTGGGCTGGATACCGTGGGACTGGCCTGGTCCGGTTGCTCAGGCTGCATCTGCTCATTGGGACGAAAAGGTGGGAAACAAATAATATAAATAATTTGTAATGTAACTGGTGAGATGGAATTGACTTCAAGCAGCATGTAAACAAACTGACAGCAAACAAAAAATAGATCAAGGCCTTTGGGTTTCTGGTAGGTCAGAAATGTCATTGGGTGCCAGTGGACAGAGGTGGTGGCATGTGTGTGTAAGAGAGCAGCACAAACAAATGATTGTTCAATGTCACTGTCCACAAAATTTAACCGGGGCTCTGTGATATTTAACAAATACATGAAAAAGTAAGGGAGGCAGAAAGATACAGACTGAAGGGCATCACAGCAGTGTATACTGGATAATATAGTACATAATAAGGTAACTGTGCAGTGTTCAGTATATATGATACCATAAAATGAATGCACATGGATGAATGAACTTGCAGTGATGACAAGTATAGAGCAGAGTGAGTGTGTAGTGTGAGAATGCAGTGCAGAGTAGAATGAGCATATAGTGTGAGAATGCAGTGCAGAGCAGAATGAACATATAGTGTGAGAATGCAGTGCAGAGCAGAATGAGCATATAGTGTGAGAATGCAGTGCAGAGCAGAATGAGCATATAGTGTGAGAATGCAGTGCAGAGCAGAATTAGCATATAGTGTGAGAATGCAGTGTGCGAGAATCAGAGCATGTGAGCGGAGTGGAGCGGGCGGAATTTGGTCAGAGCGTGGAGCGGTTTTTTAATTAAGGCTGGAGCGGTCGCTCTGTCTCGCTCCAATTTCGCTCCGATACCGCTCACACTACGACTCTGAGGCGTGCCCAAATCTACCCAGAATTCATCTGTATAATTATCAAGACTGTTACACAAATTGGCCGAGATGGAATTCGCAAAGTACTGTACTATTCTTAGCAAACGTATAGATGACAATAATGTAGAGCAAGAACAACAATGTGGTTTCAGTGAGTAAAGATTCACTTTGGAATCACTTTTCTCAGAAACATGAGAGTGTGCTAGGCGAACAGGCGGAAGCCAGAGCAAAACGTGAGCACGTTATATATGGTTATAGCATATCAAGTCTATAAGGTAAATAAAAGTATAAAGGCCTATGAAGTAAATATTGGTAATCAAATAAATTAGTTTTGTCATTCAAAGTAGGTCTAATAGGATTTTTTAATTTCACGTAACGCTGTCAGTGAAATTTTATTTTCTAGAGAGACGCAGTAGCAGCATCAACAGAAAAAAAATTGAGGGATTTAAAACATGGATGCTTAGCCTGTATATTCTTTAGGCTATTAAGCCCACTGATTCCTTTATTTTAAAGCCTATTATTGTGTGGAATGCCATTACCAAACCTGTCCATTGTTGCCTATACGTTGTTTAAAAATAAATATTTTCTGTTCTGAGTGACAATGTTTCCGTTGCTCATATTTCTTTATGATATAAGGCTTCGGTTTAAGGTGACATTTGTTAGGCATGCAGATTATTTGTCCCTCGATCTTTTAAATTGGAGCGAGCGTGGAGCGATTTGACTGGAGCGGGAGGAAATTTTAGTGGAGCGAGGAGCGGTGTTGAGCGGAGCGGCTTAGTGCGAATTAGAGCAGAGGAGCGGGCGGAGCCAACAGTCTCGTGAGCGAGGAGCAGAAATTCTCACCGCTCCACTCCGCTCACATGCTCTGGCGAGAATGGAGTGTGCAGACCAGAGTGAGCGTGTGGTGTGAGAATGCAATGTGGAGAGCAGAATGAAAGTGTAGTGTAAGAATGCAATGCGCAAGAAGGCAGTGTGCACAGCAGAGTGAAAATGCAGTGTGCGAGAATGCAGTGTACAGAGCAGTAAGCTGTACACTGGGGTCTGCCACTGTCACTTTAAATAAAAGCATCATTCCTCACTGTTTCAATACAGTGCTACTGAAAAGAGACAACAACAAAGAACTCAGCGAATCTTCCTCATGGCCTTTTACACATTTTAACATCGAGGCCTGTCACATAAACGTTTATAAATTACAACCAGATTTTGGGGGTTTCTGGTTTTAAATGCAAGCCAGTTGACCAGAAAACTCAGTTCTGGTGTACAATCATTGATTGTCCAGCTAGGAAGGGTTACAGGCAGCTGCAGCAGTAAATGAAACACGCGGAGAGCAAGACATGCCCGTGGGTCTCTGAGCAGCATGTAGGTCACTTTCTGTGCAGGGGACACGTCCTTGGGGACTGTGAGGACCGGGCTGACAGAGAGGCAGACATCCCTGACAGCTGTGAAGGGACTCAGTCAGAATTACTCTGCAGGCAATTACTGGGCCATAAACCAAGGTCCAAGGGCATATCTATACCAGAGTTAAATGCAACATCAACTTATATTGAAACTGCATGTGAATCCTTTCAGACGAGCCATTTGTTATTCTGAAATAATAAACAACTGAAAGAGAATGGAAATAATCAAGCAGCTGGAGGAGGCAAGGGTGACATCCTCATGTGTATAAGGTGTCAATCACAGCTGTGAACACACGCCAGTCAGTGACCAGCCAATGAACGAACGACAGGATTCCACTTAGTCAGGCTACCTGTGATTGGCTGAGCATATGCCTGATACAGAGTACAATACCACCGGCTACGCTTGCAAAAGTTACCTTTACATATATACATTAAGTAAAAGCTTGCAATTATAAACTTTGGCATTAAAAAAAACGCAACATAAAATATTAGCTAAGGACTTAGACTGGAATAATGGTAATAAATTCTACTCCTGACACTTGATAACCACAACACAAGAAACTGTATTTGCACATGAGTCACGCTAATGACACTAGCCACACAAACCACACCAATCAGAGTAAGTGTATTCAAGGAATACATATTTCATCAAAAGGAAACCATAATTATTTTTACATTGTTCCAAACAGACAAGTAGGTTGATTGTTTTGATGTCAGTACAGAATAGCAGCTAAGCGTCACAGTGTTTTTAGAAGAATATTTACATTTAGCACTGCATAATTCAGTTCAATTCCATTTTATTTGTACCGTGCATTTTCACAACATTGACTGCATTGCAATTGCATTGTCTCAAAGCACTTTACATTATCTCTGCCCAAAGTCCCCAGCGAGCAAGACAGAGGCAACGGTGGCAAGGAAAAACTCCCTAGAAGGAAGAAACCTTGGGAGGAACCAGACTCAAAGGGGGAGCCCATCCTCCAGGGGCCGGCAGAGGAAGTCAAATGAACAAAATGACAAAATCCTAATATACACTGTCCAAATGTAAAGATTTGAGTCTCAAAGCGACGGGCAGGAAAGTTGTGGCAGGCAGGGGCTGGTGCTGCTTCTGACGGCAGTAGTACAGCGATACAGCAGCAGGACAAATTAACCTTTCTTGCATGGTGCAGTCAAATTTACTGTTTTACTGATTTACTATTCTCCAAATCATAAGGACCACAGAAAACGAATGGGCAAGACTCTAATAAAAATGCAGAATTCAGAATTTGTGCACACACACACACACACACACACACACCTACAGATCGAGAAGTCCTCCCCCCAGAAGAAGAGAGACCCGGATGATGCCCAACCGGAAGATAAAAAGAAACAGCATCTGAAATGGAGAGCACCACCGAATACGAAGCAGAGTGATCTGGGGAGGGGTCCTACGCAGGTGGCAGCTACGCTGAGGTTAAAGAAAGGGACTATGCTGGAGTCTGCATCCGCCTAGAGGGACAAGGCAGCAAATCAGCTGAGAATGTTATCAGAATGACCCAAAGCCAGGAAGGTATGCGGTGCCCCCACCCATGATAAAGGCCACTGAAACTACTACACGATGTGTGACAAACCTGGACAGGACATGTGTGTATAGCAATATCTGCAAAGAGATGGATTGGACAAGAATTTCTGGGTCTATCCTGGCATATACAGAGCAGGGAATAAGCCCCTCCCCCCCAGCTTGTGGCTTGTCCTGGACATCTCCAAATGCACAGAGCTCGTCTTGTTGACGACCGGCAGGTCTTGAGTTTGGATTGTCAAAGCGAATTTCTCAGGCTACTCTCAATGCGGACATTTCATAATCTATGAAGAGTCATTCGCTTTGACACACACACACACGGCAAAACACAGGAAGGAGACAAGGTATATAAACACATAAAAAAACTCAAAGGAAGAAAATTGCCTCATCAATCAAAAATCAGTAAAGACTGGAATAGGTGTACAATTTATTACAAATCATCAAAGGCCAGAAAAAAAAATCTACTATTATAAAGCTCTGGAAAACTGAGTAACTGAACATCTGTTTTTGATGTTGGATAATGCATCATGAACTTAGAGATGCTTATGGAAAAAGTACAATGACAAATACAGTGGTACCGCAGTTCTCGAACTCATTAGAACTCAAATTTCTTAAAAAATTACCTAGAGCTCGATCTGAATCTCAGAAGTCAAACCGTGAACGCTGACCTAAGATAACTTGTATGTGAGGGGAAATGAGTCACGTGGCAAGCTCTACAAAGGGTAGAGCTTCAGTCTCAGCCTCGCATTTGCTGGGATAGCATTGTGCATGTTTACACTAGCTGAATACATATATTTAGACAGTAAAAATACATTGGATGTTAGATGGTAACAGTGAATATTATTATATAATAAAATACATAAAAAAAAATATATTTCTTATTCATTATTTTAATATTGATAATAAACCATTAATACATTTAATTATAATAATATTGTCATGCCGAGCGGGGACGGAATGGAGACAAAGGCGCAGACGTCAGGGTATCAGGGAATACAGGGTTTAATTACAGGTAAGGCAGGCAAAACGCAGACGGACAAAACAATGACTTGACTGGGGAAACAAACTGAAACGCGGACTAAATACAGAGGACTAATGACATCCAGAAACAGCTGATAACACGGGGATTCCACACGAGGATAACGAGGGGGCGTGGCACACGGAAGGAGCGGACGATCAGGGCAGGACACATTGTTTTTTTAACTTTACACATTGTTTGGATACATTTATTTTCTTACTTTACAAATTACTGTTTTGATAAATGTGCTTAGATGTGTTTAGTAAAATATATGCTCTTCTTGTTTTATCCGGTTCANTCTTATGGGGAAAATTCAATCAGATCTCGAACTTTTTAGGATTCAATCCGGAGTTCTGAACAGATTAAGTTCGAGTTCCGAGGTACCACTGTATATGAAATGTGGATTTCAAGTTAGGTGGTTTTTTATTTGAAAGAAATTTTATTTCAAAGACATTCCTTTAGAGATTCTGCTTTCATAGGCAGCTGTTCTGGCATATTAAGCTACGTTAAGCTCTCACTTTAAAATTTGTCTTTATATGAGGAGGAAAAGATTACAGTTGCATGCGTTTGGTAATACACAGTGCTTACGAGCAGTGAAGTGTGAGAGAACTTTCGTTTTCCTAACTTGTTGTTTTGGTACATTAAGCCAAGTTACGCTGTTTTGTTTCTATAGAGAGAAAAAGTATGAATTTTATAATTTTGTCTTTTAATTACAGTCTGACACATTTGGCAATAGAATGTCATTATAACCACTGAAGTGTGGCAGAAATGTGGCTGCTGTTTGGGAACATGTTAAACTTTTTTCATATGAAGCACTTGAGAATCCACCAGGCAAATGCACCCCACGTACCTCCCAGGCCCTGCTGGTGTCCTGTAGCATCTAGAGTACCTGAAACATCTCTGCATACAGTACAATGTCTTTGCAGCCTGTAACCAGGGAACGTTGCCCAGCAGCAGCCTTTGCTGAAAGAGCTCCTGAGGGCTCTGCAGTCTGCTCTTATTCAAAGGCAGCAGGAGCTTCCTGCACACCTGTCTCCAGCAATTTACTGAGGAAGATAGAAGCAGCAAGCTCCCCTCCCCACCCCTCCCCGAAGCGGCCCTCAACAAAAGGAGAGACAAAAGGAAAAGGGACCAGCTCAGTGCCCCAAGGGATGTAAAACAGGCATTATATCAAAGAAACTGCAGAGCATGCTGGCTTATTACCATACACTGCCACTCACGCACACGCAATGCTATTGGGAAAGTTATTGTGAAATAACTGGTGGCCATATGAACACATTTTTATTCTAGATAAATTGTACAGAGAGTTGTGACACAACAAATGTAAATGTGGGGCACTGCTGCCAACCAGGTAACCCGGCTAAACTCACATACAGTACGTCTTGATAATCTCAAAATGTTTTCAACTTTTTAGCTGTAGTCATAATAATATATACTTTTTGCTTATTTTACTTGAGAGTAGTATACCTTGAGGTGAATACAATATATATACCCATCCATCCGTCCATTTTCTGTAGCCACTTGTCCTATTCAGAGTCACTGGGGGTCCAGGGCCTATACCAGAGGCTATGGGTGCAAGGCGGGGAACAACCCAGGTTGGGGCACCAACCCAAAGCAGTATACATACCACAAGTTCCAAAAAGAGCATATGATGATGACTAGGAATTAAATTGGTTAAAAAATATGCCACAATATTAGGTGATAATATGTGTTTTATAATTGCTTCATAAATTTCAATGAGGCACCCCATTTTCAGCATGAAAATCAAAAATGGAATGCTGTCTTTTACATATTCTAGAGGTTAAAATGGCTGATGGCTGGGAAACGACTGAAAACCTGCAGTGGTTTGCTAATTCTGGTTGACTATGTTATTTTGACTATGTGAGACTGAGCAGAAAAGCCCGTAACAGTGCACTGTAATGCCTACATCTGCAATGAGCATGTTAGCACTGTATAACAAGGTTCTCAGTTAATGCACTACCGTCACCCAGGAGCAGACAAGCCCACAGCCCCTCACATGCCTCCTGCATGCGCATGTGCCACACTGTACCTCAGACGACAGAAGGGCGGCTGCTGCAGGCCGGGCCTCCTCCCCCGGGCCATCAGGATGGCATGTCAGCTGGTGGGAGAGCACCTCCTCCAGGGAGCTGAACAGTTGGTAACAGGGGAAGCACATGTAGAGAGAGGAGCTGCTGTCCATCGTGGGCTGAAGGGTGACAGACACAACAATGAGCCCAGCGCACTGGTCATTGTCAGACACTGTCCTAACAGGGACAGAGCGTGAACGTCCATCACAGCCTTCACTGGTAGGGATTCACAGCAAGTGTGATAGTCCAAACACAATCCGTGGGACACCTATGACTCAACTACTATCAAGTACTGATCAATAATGACGTCATCAACAACCGATTGTTTAACTGTATACAAGGTAACTCTTTATCCAATGGTGTCCATTAAACTTCTAAAACAGTGTGAACGGTCATTGGGGGAATATTCAGATCTGCCGCTATACGAAGCGCACAAAGCGGCATGAAAACATTTGGTTTCCATGATTGTGCCGCGCAAGAGCACGGATGCGAAGCTCAGCGTGGTCTTCACAGAGTTGCTCTAACGCCGCATCAGTTGCGAGTCAAGTGGCAAAACAGATGCATGGTCCTGTTCACTGAACACAATATACAGTGATTACTGCGGTCACTCTCACTAAAGACGCAACATAACTTTCAGGAATATTTAAATAACACAAATGCATACAGTCGCCCTCTAGTGCCCACGACCTGCAGCTTAAAAAATCTGGTGACTAGCAATAGCATAACAAACACTCTTAGTTTGTATATACAGTTACAACTTATTACATATCAGTGATTTTGATTAATTATATGAGCATGCGTCTGTTGGTAGTGACACAAAAGAACATTTGGTATGAGTTATTTTCAATTATTAACAATGTTAGTTCTGTAAAAAATTTAAAAAAAACGTATTTTTTCCCAATATCCATTTCAGCTGTCAATTCTAATGCTTATGTAACGATCAGTTCTGTGACTACAATAAACTTGTAAAGGCGGATATGGACTATCCCAGCGAGCCCCGTATCAGGATCTTGTGTAGCTCTATGGTAGCTACCAGAACCGCTCCTCCGTCGGAAGACTAATGTCTATGCTCCCTGTACCCGCGACCCACAACAGCACTAAATATACAATCCAAGTTATACGCAGGGCAGCGCGTCAATAGTGCCTTTAACACATATACATTATTTTCATAATTTCTAAAACATAACGCAAATACTACTTACTGTTTCGTTGATTTCACTATCTTTGTCAATATTATCTGTTACGTCCCAGTAATACGTTTTAGGATTGGCTGGATTACAGTCTTACAGCGACCAATTGTTCCACTGTAATCAGAGCGACACTGGTCTTGAGGGTGACGTCACAAAACGGCGCGAATGTTGGGAGTGCAGTCCACACTCCACAATAGACTGAAATAATACGCATGTGCAGGATAATAGCACTGCACATAAATGGCAGTTTTCAGTTTAAACGTACTTAAGAATTCAGGGTACTTTTCTGTCTCCAAGACAACGATTATACCTTTGCATAAGATAAATGTGTGATGCAGCGACCTGCAGACACATTACACATAAATATGCTTGTTTTACATGTATGCGAAGAATGCCTTTGTCATTGTACAGCTAGTGAGTGCAATTAAATGTCTTTGAATCTTCCATTTTGCTCTTCTATGACGCTCTGGCCTTATAAACTAGCTTGGACATTAATAAATCTTATTTAATAAAAACAAAATATTACAACATCCATGCCTTTCCTTCCAGCATTAAGAGGAACACATACAGTACCTTCCACGGGGTGGCAAGGTGCAGTGGTTAGCACTGTGGCCTCACATCTCTAGAACCGGGTTCGAGTCTGCCCTGGAGACTGGAGGCCTGCAGCATGTGGGGTGATGTAACCGTAGATAGGACTTGTCAGTCCAATGAATCCCAAAAATGTTTGACGCATACCCAGCTGTCCACATGACGCATCAGAAAAAGGGATTAATCAGACCAGGTGACCTTCCATGGTGGACACTATGGACAGGGCTCAGCATGCACACCCTGACTGGCTTGCAGCTATGCAGCCCTACATGCAATAGGACTGGATGCCCTGTGTTCCATGACACGTTGCTCCCTTGATCATCACAGGAGCCCATCTGTTGGTTCATACCACAGGGGATAGCTCTCACTTACCTACTGCATTGACAATTCTTACTTTTTCTCTGCTTGGATCACTCTCAGGAGGTACTTGTGACGACTGACTGTCAGCGCCCCACAGGCTTTGGGGTTTTGGACGTTCCCTGACCAGTCACCTGGCCATAATGATCTGCCCCTTGTCAAAGTCACTTGGATCTTTAACCCTCTCCAATTCCTCTGCAGTGAACATTAGCTTACCATCTAGTATATCCCAGACCATATTTTACTAGTCACCATTATTTGCTTCAAATGGAGGAGGGCACAATGTTTTGCCTCATCCGTACGCAGTCTGACAGAAAGGTAAGACTGTAGAGCCACTAGGGGGTGCTGTTTACCACGTTAAATATAGAACATTTCTTTGTAATGCGTAAATTCTATTAAATTTTAGGGATCTGACTGACCTTTATTGTTCAATAGAAGCATTTTTGTAGACATCAAAACTGAATGTAGACATTTTTTTTACCAAGTTCAGCCACAGACATATGACCGAATTAGACACGTCACATTAGCTGCCCAAGTCAATCTTGACCGTAAAATAAACACTTTATTGGGAGTATGTCTGCCAGTGTGGTGTATGACCCCTAGCAGGACTGCGCAGACCAGAAGGCTCCATGGGGCAGGTCTGCGCAGGGCACCGGGAGCCTGCAGCTTGGTGAAGGATACGTGAGCACAGGCCTCCAGGGCTGGGGGCCACGTCAGCAGGCAGGAGAACAAAGCTACAGCTTCTTAAAGACCTGAAGAGAGACTCGCCCACATTCGCATCTCTTATGTTCCAAATGCACAGAGTAGCGCTACATGTAAATATGAGCCAAAAACCCAAAGCTGCAACTCCATCAATATTGGCTCTGGACCGAGAGCCCGCCTTAAACTGATGGCCGGTTCTACCTTTGCCCAGGGGTGTGATTTCATTTGTGCGAATTTAAATTCTGTTTAGATGGGGTTCTGGTCTCCAACATGAGAGAATCAGTGGATTTATGTCCACATTCATCAAACAAATATCTGCAACAATTCAGTCATAGTCAGTCATTTACAGTAAATGACGAGGTGATGATGAAAACTGAAATGCATCTGATTGGTGCCAGGAAATACTTGAATATCCACACGTGGCATTTTGTTTATAGAAATCATACATGCTGTGATGCAAGTGTCTGTTAGGAGTAGTTTTCTTTTCCTTCCAGAAAAAGGAGTAAACTTGGACAGAACACTGCTAAAAATAAATAAATAAATAAATGGGTCTACATTTTAGTAGGATTACTTTACCAACGGATATAAATGTGCCGTTCAAAAACTCTAAATAATATTCTGACATTCAGTGAAGTCAGGATTTCAAAAATGGCTCTAAAATAGTCATAAATAGTAAAAATCTGTTTATATATAATCTTTAAACAAAGTATACAAAAATATTTCAAATTAGGCAGATAAGAGCTGTTGCGTAAAATTGCACAAAATTTTGTAATTTTATTACCAAACTTGATGATGACCCTCCATCAGACCTGAAGGTTCAGATCTGACCATCGGCAAGCATATTGTCATACGGAGGATCTGAAATGCTGACCGAAGCAGCTGTCGAAGGACGAAGCAGGCACAAACCTGGAAGGTCTCACACAGGAAGCGTTCGGTAAACCATGTGCGAATCAGCTGTCGCTGAGTGCATCAGTACCTCAGGTGAGGGCGGGTACTCACGGGTGCCGGTCAGCATGCGGTCATCAGATAGGCAGCAGATACAATCCATTACACGACTCACTCAGTGATCTGCCATCAGTGTGTGTCAATCATCATGTCACAGATCTCAGCCAACATTCTGGAATCTTAGTCTGATCCAAATGTATAAAGCGAGGTAATTAAAATAGTACGCTGTTCTAACAATCACAGTGCAGTCCATTATTGGCTTCCAAAGAATTCCATCCTTCACTGGCCTCCTATGAATCCTAATCCCTTCCAGTGCTAGGAATTCCTGACGCACAGCTGAAAGGCCAGGAGCGCCTGCCATAGACTAACAGGCTAACAGTGTCGCAGCATTAGCAGGTCTGAACAGACGGCAGTGGGGCACGCCTCTCAGTGCAGGCTCCCTGGCTGCGGTGGCCCTGCAGCTGAACGAACTTGCAGCGAGAAGCCAGTTGGGAATTTATATATTAGGCCAGGGAGTCACAGAAGGGTTACAATTCCAATCCATACATGCAAGATGCACTCTGTTGATTCTGTGATCTATAAGGTGAACAGTAGAGCTGGGATGATGGGTGTGGGAGAGGTACATAATGCAGACAGTGAATCACCAGTGCTCATACTGAATCATGGCGATGAATCATGCATCTGTCATTTATTCATGCTGGACTGACAGTGGACAATTTGCTTATTCAATACTTTATGAATGGAAAGTGTAGGGCCGGCACAGTGGGTAGCATGACTTCCTCACACCTCCATGGTCGTGGGTTTAAATCCTGCCTCCGCTCTGTGTGCGATCTGCATGTTCTCCCAATGTTGGGTGGGTTCCTGTGAGGTACGCTGGCTTCCTGCAGTCCAGTGTTATGCAGTGAGAGTATGTGGCACCAATCAACTGCACATTGCCTGCACAGCACCTGTGCTGTGGTGCCTGGGAGAGAATCGAGACCTTAGAGGATTGTCTTCATCTTCTTATATTTTTATAAGCGTAGCATCATATCAATACACTGTGGAGAGAATAACACACTTATCATGTTAGCCTGACACATGGTCTACAGTAACCCCATTTAGTGAAACTGTTCTCTTCGAACAACCCACGAACCTCACTGGCCCATTCCAATGTGTTTGCAGTGGGAGGAGACCAAAGGCACGTTTTTATCACCATGACTCCTACAGTGTTTAGTTCATTCCACTTCTGATTTCTGCAGCTCCTCGGTTTAATAAAGGTTCAAGCAGAATCATCAGTAATCAGCAAGGAAAAACGTACGGAACCACCAAGAACATCATCTAACTGGACTGGATGGTTAAGCAATAATGATTCATGGCACATTATCCGAAAAAAATCACAAAATTAACCACCAAATATATGTTAAAAGTAAAAACCATTTATGCAAGTATGGGTATAAAATTTCTCCTACAGTTATTCTGGAGCATCTATCACTTTGGTCGTTTTGAGTGAATATTGTACTTCTATATGGTACTTATACATACCATCAAGTACATCTTACCTGCAATGTTTTACAGCCCCAGTCCCCTCTGAGCCACAGTCATTTGGCTGCCAGTGAACGGAAGGAAACCCACCAGTAGAACCAGTTACATCATACACTTGAAGCAAGTACTTTAGTAGTGAGACAAGCAGAAGCGCACACACACTGTTTATTTAAACCAAATCTGTCCGAGCAACACTGCAGAAGGGTTTGTGTATAAATCTGCAAAATGTAAAAATAAACCCAGGGATCTTTAAAGTTTGTGGGTCCAAATTACCAGGGCAGAATTAATCCCACAGCAGCCACAGCAATCCTCCAACTGGCCCAGCGTTTCATAATTACGCTGACAAAACCTGATATAGAGTAGAAGTAGATTATAATAAGATGAACAATATGAATTGTGCTACTTGCTTTCCACGTGGCCCACAATCCCCTGCAGATTGCTCGGCCTGTAGCTCACTGAGGCCTGTGCTGCAGTCGTCCCTGCCAGCTGCCTGACCTGACACCCCCCTGACACAATGACATGCACCAAGAATCCTACATGCTGCATATTAAGTGCGACTGCAGTCTGTATGAACGTGCTGCTTGAGAAAAACTGTGAGCAAATGTTCGCAGGACGTGGCACACAAGTATGACAAGCATGCAGCTCTGAGGGTGACAGGAGGCCTCTGTGGGTGCATGTGGAAGGCAATCGGATCTTGGTGTGTTTATGGTGAAGGTATCATATGTAACATCCTGACACATTTGGATTTGTGAGTCTAAATGATGATGGGCTTTTACCAACACGCCCAGTCAAATAAACAAGTTAAAAAATGCAGATCATGAAGCCTCTCAGCTTTTCCTGCAGATATGCAAATGGATCCTGGTGAAGTGCCTGCCTGTCCTGACAGGAGGGAACCTTTACAAACACAGCTTGGGGGTCATGAGCACTGCTCACAAACACAATCGAATAACTGCGGCATAACTTCTGGCTTGAAAGTGTAGGCGTGGCTATAACAGAATATGAAAATTAAAAAATGAAATTGACTTTTTAACCCTGATTACAATTTAATTACATTCGGGAAGAGGGAGTATAAGAGAGCATTAACATTCACTGTAACATCCTAAAAATGCCCCCCATCCACTGAGCCATGTAATCACTGAGAAGTGGGCTGTGGGGGCAAATATTAACAGTAAAATTATTTCTCTTAAAATGATTAATATCCCCTAAATACACAGCATACAAGAACAAAAGAACATTACAAAATGAATATTAACATACAACAAGCATACCTCCCACTTGTTCCTCAAAGAAGTCCCACCACTGTCCCCCAACCCCCCCACCAAGGTCCCTCCCCAACAGTGTATACAGTGAAGTTCTCAAAGGAAATGTAAATGCAAAAGATACTCCTGAAAGGGGGGAGAAGTGTCCAGAAAACTGTGGTGAGGGACAGGGGGGGCTGTACAGAAAATAAAAATCATGTCCACAACCAAAAGCCAAAAAAGCTACAAGCCTGGTGAGAAAGATGCAAGAAGGACCAATAATGGACAGCCATAATACTGCAAGGTGCCATCACTGCCACTGCAAGCTCTCACCAATGCAGAAAGCAGCTGCGGCTGCGCAGACTTAATGCATAAACTCTGTGATGCAGACATCACTGGAGACTCATCACAGTCCTTAGTGAAAAAGGCCTCCAGTGGAAACCGAACCGGAGGCAAGGATGGCAAATGCATTCAGCCAGCACGCTTCCCGTACAGGACGCTCTCCTGTGACGCACTCAGCCAGCACGCTCCCCATACAGGACGCTCTCCTGTGACGCACTCAGCCAGCACGCTCCCCGTACAGGACGCACCGTCAGATTGCCTGCCTCACACAGACCGTGGGACAAGTGAGGAGTGACATTTCAGACTGGACTCCATGTTATAATTTCCCATGTTGCTCCACTTCACCACTCCCCTGGCCGACATCATAACTGGAGAACTGTTTGGAATTTAGTTTGGCACGACTGATGGTCTTCAGGTGGGGGCAGAGCCAGAGGCATGATGGGACTGTGGGTCCGTTTGACAGGTACAAACTCCCAATAAGGCATTTCGGTAAAGCTGCACAACCTGGGATCTTTCAGCATTTGCTTCTCTCTTTTACCAACAAAAAAAGTCATTATCTATTTTTTGTAAAATAAAATAAAATAAAATCAAGCTCCCTCCATGTTTACTTGGGGTGAGTCCTGAAACTTAAATGGAATTCACTAATCACTAATCACTAATCATCATATATTATACACATTATATATAAAATGTATAGCTGGTATCTGATGTTGTGATTTCCCTTAAATTCACGAGCCATATAAAGGCCAAAAAGGCAGTGTGTGGACCTCATCTTGGACTTGGCCATTTCTCATAATGAAATGGGAATGGCAATAACCTTGAATGGCTTATATTTCAACTGACTGGATTCTCTGTGACTAACCTACTTAGTTTGTGCACCATTAACTCAGATAGCAGATTTTCAGACAACCTACGACTCCACTTGAACTATGAATCACGTGCCATTAGTTGACTTGACTAGCTGTCTTATGCAGACCACCTACACAAAGGCTGTGATACATAGATAAACCATCTGTGGATTCAGCCAGTTCCGATTTAGGTCGCATGCAAGGTCCCAATCCACGTATGTAAATATAATTACAAATTACCCCTGGATGTGGCCTCATCTGACATAACCGGTTGGACTGCAATTCCCAGAATCAGGTTAGGATATTGCTGATCTGTGATTGGTGATGGCACCAAGTCTCAAACAGCAGAAGCAAAAGCCCAGAATTTGTGAGGACTAGACGTGATAAGGTAGCACATAAGGTGCAGTTTCCAAAAACCACTAATATCTAAAGTTACTGTAATCTCAAGAAAGCAGTATTCTTAAGCCAGTCCCTCACCTGCTTTAATAAAAAACGACTCAGAACATTACCGTGATACAGAGACAACAAGCTCGTTTCTAATTACGAGACAAAAAGCAAAAACAGGATTAAATTATTTGTGTAATGCCTATATTAGTGTTGATTAGACATCCTTTGGTGTTTTCCAGGTAACTGGGAATGATGAATGTTTGTCTTGCTTTCAGCAGTGAGTAAAAGAAGAAAGGTAAATGTGTTGAGAAAGAGAAAAGGTGGTGTGTGAAATCAGGCGTTCATACTACCAAAAGGAACAAAGAGCAGGACAAAAGGCAGATGGAGGGTGCAGACCGACGCCCATTAAAACACATCATGTTTGTCTCTTATAAAGAGAACAGCACAAGCCCAACAGAGACCATCTTCTGCAAATCTCCATCACCTTCCACACTACAGGCTTTAGAAATGCACCAAGAGTGCCGGTCGGAGAGACCAGCAACCGCGTGCCAACTGGAAAGGCCAGTAACACAGCTAATCCAGCGCCAAACCCAGTCATAATCCAGACACACATGGACCCACAGACTGCAGCTTTTGTTTTCCATTGATGAAGCGTTTTCCCCAAGAAACAAAGACATCAAGATCATAGTCGTCTGTGAAGTTTGTCAGTGTCCAGGAATAACAAACCTAAAACACCTTATTCGCTTTAAGTATACAATTTTAGTTTATAATAGGCACTTGAAAAATCAACACTGGTTCCAACAGTCACCAAAAGATTAAAATCCCAGCCTATCAGAATGCAAGCAAGTTGGGTGCGATCCAGGGGCATCCGAACATTCCGCACTCAGCCAGTCGTCGTCACACATCTTGGACCAGCTCTGTTAGGTGAATGGCAAGGGGTGGCCAGAGCTGGCACTCTCAGACACTCCTGTCCTGTAACCCACAGCAGTTAGCAGTGTCTGTGCAGTGGGACGCTCAGCAATCGCCCCCCAGGGAGAGCTGGGCCGTGGCACGCTGCAGCTCAGCACTCGCCCGGCGCTGACTTGGGGGGGCAGGGCTCTGCAGGCCGCAGCCCCCACGCCGCTGCCAGTCTCCCTTCCCCTTCTCCGCACGCACCTTCTTGTCGTCGGCCTCACCAACACCAGCGCCATCAGCTTCCAGCCGCTGGTCCTCACTCCAGCGCCGCTTGAAGCGCAGTTTCAGGGGGATGCACTTTGTGCTCCCACCAGCGGGACGCTCCGTTGGGGCGGAGCTTAAAGGCCGGAGAGATGAGTGACTGGGGAGGGGAGACGGGGGTGTCACAGGAGTCTTGAACACATCCTCGTCAGAGTCGTCTTCATACGGCTGCGGCGTGGGGCCGCCGCTGGGCTGTGCGTCCGGGGATGAAGGCAGGTCCCGCTCCTTTTCTGCTTCTTTCTCCTCCTCACTAATGTCGGTCACCTCCACCTCCTCCTCTGATTCTACATCAGAGATGTGTTCCACCTAAAAAAAAAATAAACCAGTGGTGTGTCCACGCTGCCCTGTCAGCCACTGAAGCCGAGGCAGCAGGGAGACACACAGCAGGATGCCTTATGAACATGGTGCATCATCAGTTTCTCACATGCTAGGCTCACCTTGATCTTAGGCAGCCTGTCCATGCTGCTCGCGGAGTTGGAGGAGCCAGGGACCGGTCTGGGCCCGGGGCCCATGCCATTGGTGGCGGGCCGGTGCGGGGTGTGCCCTTCTCGCTGTTTGCGCCCCAGTGGTGGTGCTTGAAGCTTGAACTCAAAGGGGAAGAGGTGAGAGTCCTCAGCTGCCTGTGTCGAGCGACCATGGGCCTGAGACAGGACTGGATGGGGGCCGGTGAGACCCCGGTCACCGAGCATGGGGCCCGGGCCTTTGTCCCGCCGCTGCGGCTGTGGGATCAGCAGGCTGGAGTAGTGCAGGAAGGCGCGAGGGCTCAGGTGATAGTTATAAACGCTCTGCGTGTGAGCCTGCAGATAGCGCTGCATGTCCTCAGGGCTGAAGGAGAAGCGAGAGCCCATCAGGGGGCTAAGAGACGGCGAGGGCGTGTAAAGGTGAGAGGAGGGCGTCAGTGACAGGGCTGGAGAGAGTCCGGGGTGAGGGGACACTGGGAAGGGGGACAGCGGCTCGGGGTGAACTCGGGGAGGCTGGATCGTGCGAGGGAGTGAGGGGTTCGGGGGGGGCCCGTACACCCTGAGGAACGGATCGTGAGGGAGGCGGGATGGTAGGACAGCCCGGAAGCCTCGCTCGTCACCCACTCCGCCTTCCTCCAGCTCCGAGTGGACAGATGTACCGTCACTGCAGTCGCTGACGGAGCCACGGGCCATGCGGCGGGAGAGAGCCCCCAACGTGCTGGCAGAGCTGGGGCTGCAGGGGGCCTCGCTCGGGGACAGCGCCTCCACTGGCGGGACCAGGGGGAAGCGGAAGTGGGTTCCTGCCCCCGAGGGCACCGGAGGGGCACTCTGAGGAATTCCGCGGCCTGCAGGGACACGGAGCTGTCAGCACAGCGCAATCACAGCTTCGCTGGCGGACTCAGCCACCGCTGCCATCACTGTGAAACAACACTGGATACAGGAATACAGCTGTAATCTCACCACATCAGAAGGCAGAGAAGGAAAGGTGGAAGCTCCTTATCCTCAAGTTTTTTTTTATATATTTATACAAAAAAGGGAATAAGAAATACATCTGCTTCAAAAGTAGGGATTGTTTTTCTGTTTGGTACAGAGACTGCCTCAAGCACCATATGACAGATGAGAAAACCTTTATGTTTACCTGCTGCGCCCATGTCAACAAAGGGATAGTTTACAAGCACCAGCTTGTTGAAGTTGAACTTGTATGTGAATCTCTTCCCTTTGGTCTTGTGCAGAATCCTCTTGTTATAGTAATACCTGTGGATTCCAAGCACATAGGCTTCACAATTACTTTGAACACATATATGCACTTCTGTTGTTAAAAGGAATGAAAGCAAGTTCGGCTGATTGCAGCCACAGCACAGGAATACCATAAAGCACTATACAGGTACCACTAAAACACAATGGTAGCACGTTCAGCTCCAGAATGGAAGGCTATGGACCATGTTTAGTCAGTCTACAAACAACAGGCAGCGCTACGGCCCAGTACCTGTCCAGACATCTATTCACCTCAGATATCAGCATTACTTTAACCTGATCACTGCTAACACCCATTCTGTAAAGGTGTTTAACTGCTCAAATAAACCATTTTTGCATTTAAAAGTGTATGATAGTAAAATGTAGGCGAGTTTGCTTTGTGTCTCTGAACAAAACATATTCAAATGTCGTCTTAAAGGTGTCGTACTTCTGACAAGGATTTTATCATCTTCTTCATTTCTTCTGACAATGAACCTGCCCAAGTTATCAGGATATCCATACGTACGTCCACCAATCTCCCATAATCAGTCACTCATCCAGCACATTTCAGGCAGCGCAGGGTGCCGGCACATTTCCGGGGACTCTCTCTCTCACTCACAGATACACAAAACCTGCACTGGGAGTAGAATCTACACCCCTAAAGATGAGAGGCTACAGCTCCACCCACTGAGCCACTTGCTACACCAGTTAGCAGGGAATTGTTTTCCCAAGACTCAAACACACTGTCACAACGTTACAGAACACTTCTTCCTCACAACTTTGCTGTCAATAAATATCAGCATTAATTTTAACTTTGCTGTGCTATAATTTCATACACTAATCTACTCACCGTCTACACTAGCACTTGCAAACATATGCTGTGAATTGGATTTTCGTACTTCAAGTCTGAAAACAAAGTCCCCAGAGGTAATCCAGCCTGAAGCACTTACCAAGGCATTTACAGCCCATTTTCCCCCGAGTGTCTAAATATTTATGAGCAGGAAAATAAATGAAGTACATATGTGTGACTGTCTGTCCCACCAACACAGTAGGTCACACACTGCTAGAGAGAGTCCATGCTGAAGCGGTTCTCATGTTAGTGACTTGCAACACTTACAACTGACCCAGCAGAGATAACCTGCATCCCACATGTTTAACAAGATCACAAGAAAAATAGACGTCTGCATCAGAGGGCAAAGACAACATCACCCCCTACTCTCAGTACCAGCCAAAAGCTCACTATTTTTTATAAACAGCTCAATGCCAGATATTATTAGCTAAAATGGTCAAGAAACAATGGTTTTAATTTTGGACATTTACAAAGCAAAGCATTTCACTTCAGATGTGGACCTACTGTCACACGCTTCAGTACCTATACATCTCACAGCACTCTGTCAAGGCTTGTCTTAAATGGCAGATACCACTATGTCTTTTTGTCTCATAAGAATATTTTACAAGATGCAGTTGGTGGAGGAGTGAAACCACCAATTATAGACCTGGCTCTTTCATTATGCTGTCCTAGGTCTGACTGGTATGATAATCTTCACCTCTGAATTTTCCAGAAAGCATGCTGGAGAAAGGCATTTTAACACTGCTTTCACATAATTCTAAGATGAAATTTGATACACAGTGAATTGTGAGGCTGCATCAGCCCATGCTGCCCATGCTTTGCAGAAGCCACGCCCACATGAGGGCACCATACAGGCCGGCTGTGCAGTGCTCAGCAGGACCTCAGACTGGCTACACTGGGCCCATTGTGAGAGGGTGAGCTGGTAACCATGAGAGTGAGTCATGCTCTGTGTCACCACCTCTGTTAGAATGAGGCCCTTATTCTGGGCACAGGGCAGACACACACAGCTCTGCATGCGCCCCCCCCCAGCATAGCCCCTCGTAAGGGCAGTGTTACTCAGCTGTCCAGTAGAGCCCCAGACACTAAAACTCCAGTCAACTCCAGCCTCAGGAGTACCAGTCATAATTTTCCACTTTGTCAGGCAGAATACAGAGGCTATAGATTACAAAAAGCTGGGATTAGCAACATAGCGCCTCCCACTGGGCACATACCTGAGTGCGCGGCTCAGCTTGTCGTAATTCATCTGCGGCTTGCACTTGCGTGCCCCCCACAGCCGCGCCATCTCCTCGGGGTCCTTGATGACGAACTCGCCGTAGTCGCCCTGCCAGGTGATCACGTCCTGGTACTCCTCCTTGCGCAGCAGCTCCAGGATGAAGTGCCACAGCTGGACCTGCCGTGAGCCTGGGCTGGATTCGGTCTTGCAGGCCCAGTCTGGCAGGGTGAAGCCTTAGGGGGAGAGAAGCCGGGAGATCAACACCCCCAGCACAGGTCACTGGAGGGGCAGCCATGTGCCCAAATGCCAGGGACCTACCCGACAGACGATTAGCCGGAGTGAGGCCCGGCACATATAACCTAACCCAGAGGTCACATGGGATCTCATGTTGCAAAACAGCTGCAGTGTTGTTCACAGGCCACATATGCAATGAGGGCAGGTTGGTTGTGTTACACAAAGTGGATTTTTGTGTGTGTGTGTCTGCACTTGCATAGATCACATTTGGGGATCAAAATGTCCCCAAAGTGGGGTAAAAACTAAAACTTCCTTAGTTTTGGGGACATTTTTCAGATCCACATTTGGATAACCTCAATTGTATACAAATCTGTGAATGCGATCAAAAGAGTAAAAATGCCAAAAGTCTTATATATGATTTTGGGCTGGGTAGGGATTAAAGGTCATGATTGAGATTAGGTTTCTTCCCACAGAGATGAATGGAAGGTCCCCATTTAGATAAGTGCGCCAACATATATATGTACGTGTGTGTGTGTGTGTGTGTGTGTGTGTGTGTGTGTGTGT